GAGAATGAAGTAGAAGGGAGGAATGATGCGATTGCAAATGCAAATCCTAATCCCTTGGTTCATGTTAAAGCTAATCTACCATCTTTTCATTGCAAGTTAGCAAAGCTAAAGAAGGAAGACAATGATGAGGAGATTTTGGAAGTATTTCGTAAGGTGAAGATCAATATTCTCTTGTTGGATGCCATAAAGCAAGTACCGAAATATACTAAAGTCTGGAAAGACTTATGCGCCAACAAAAGGAAGTTAAGAGGGGACAAATAGATTATGGTAAGTGAAAATGCGGCAATTTTGTAAAGAAAATACCACGTAAATGCAAGGATTCGGGTATGTTTACAATCCCTTACATGATTGAAAATTCTAGAATTAGAAATTCCATGCTAGATTAGGAGCATCTATTGATCTATGTCTAACTCTATGTATGATTCTCTAAATTTAGGACCTTCTAAATAAATGATTGTGATTATTAAACTGATTGATCATACTAATGGGTATCTTAATGGGGTGATTGCGGATTCTCCTGTTGATAGTCTAGCCAATTTGGGAACTCAATAGAAATCTAATATGGCTTTTGAAATGTTTGCTTCACTGCCTCAAGTTGTATGTGGACAAATTTGCTTGGATCGACTTGGATTTCCTGCAATTAGAAGGCGATTTAGGTAGCTTTCATAATAATAGTTTTTCTACTGTTTTAAGATTCTCGTTTGTAAGAGAGTAGTACTCCTTGTTTAATGTAATTGGTTGTTTTTATCAATTTTCCTTTCTGTATTTTGGAGATAAGGTTTATGTTTTGCTCCTTCTTCTCTTTCTACTATTAATAAAATTTGGGCTGGCATCCCTTCCCCAGCCAAAAAAAAAAAAGCTCAAATTGGCATCCCCACACGGATTTATAACTTAAAGTTTCATCCTTGTCTGCCATCTAATATATTGGCTAAAATTGTCACTAGCTGAAAGCATCCCATCAAGGTTTTTTTGCTAAAGTAGAATTTGACAATATAAGTTTGTAGATTTGCAACTTTATATGAGGCAAACTTTTCTATCAGTTGGAAGAGCAATATAGAATATAGACATCTACTGGGATATGCCAATTTTTCCTACAGATTTTGCTGGATTATGTTTGATATCAAAATAATTTAGTTATTAGAAAAATAAAGATATTTGTTAACCAAAGATCATGTTGGTTTGTTGACAAATATTTTAGCTAAAATTTGCTAGTAGAAGAAGATTATATTGTGTTGAGATTTTTAGGATAATTGTTAGTTAGATATTTTGCTACTTTATTTTATGTAATCACTATAAATAGTGAGTTGATGAATGAATAACATAAACTTATTTTTCAGCCTCAATACAAGTTTCTTATAAGCTTTTTTTGTAATACTAAGGTGTTATTTCTTAATTTATGCTCCAAAAAATCAACAAAGTGGTATCATAGCCTATATCTTAAGGGTCTGATTTTTTTTAGAGTGAGTTCATTGACGAGGATCCTTTATAAGTTCAAAACCATAACAAGAAAGAAGTTTTTGTCAAATATTTTAACTTTTAGTGGTGAAAATTATCAAATTTTGGACTTATTTGGTAGTCAATGATCTGCAGGATATGGTAGAGACAAATGTTGTTTTGCCAATATTTGAAAAGCTGATGGATACAAAAATTACAGACCACAAACTTGCAGTTAGACAGAGATCCAATGCCAGCATTCACATATCAGTTTTTGATGTTGTTTTTACAAGAATAATGGCTAATGATTTGATTGAGAATAAATTATTCTCAATTAAAATTAAAATAAAAAGTTTGACTATGAATTGGTCAGATTTTGACAATTCTAAAGTCGAACATGATGATGAAAACAATAAATCATATCATAAAAAAATTCAGGAGGAGATCATCGATAAGTCAAGAGGTATCAAATTGATTCCTGATATTTGTCAAGATCATAATATTACTGTTTTTGAGTCTACAGGTTATGATGGTGATGACAAAATGAAAAATCATGCAAAATTTCATATTTTCGGTGCAAGTTCAAATATTGTTGAAAGGTGTTTCACTTTGAACCTATTAGAAGGTTATTTGGAAACATTAAAAAAAAAAAAGAACCATCTTTTATTTGGAGTTTGGCAGGAGAAAACAAAAGAAGTGGTTTTTTGCAAGACTAATATTTAGCTTGCATAAAAATTCAAAAGAAGAAGTTCATTGCAAGGCTAATCATTAGTTGCAGAATTTCTTATAGAAGTCTTGTCCAAAACAAGATTTAAAGATTTGAGAAAACAATTCAAAATCTGCAGCAAAAGTGGCAAGGAGAAGTGTTGAGATATGCCAACTTTTTCTACAGATTTTGCTAGATTATGTTTGATATCAAAATAATTTAGTTATTAGAAGAATAAGAATATTTGTTAACCAAAGATTATGTTGGTTTGTTAACAAATACTTTAACTAAAATTTGTTAGTAGAAGAAGATTATATTTTGTTGATATTTTTAGGATAATTATTAGTTGGATATTTTGTTAGTTTATTTCATGCAATCACTATAAATAGTGAGTTGATGAATGAATAACATAAGGTTATTTTCCAACCTCGATACAATTCTCTTATAAGGTTTTTTTTTTTTTTTTGCAATACTAAGGTGTTATTTCTTAGTTTATACCCTAAAAAATCAACAAAGTGGTATCAGAACCTATATCTTAAGGGTTTGATTTTTTTTAGAGTGAGTGCATTGATGAGGATCCTTTATAAGTTCAAAACCATAATAAGAAAGAAGTTTTTGTCAAATATTTCAACTTTTTCTGGTGAAACTTACCAACTTTGGGCCATAAAATTTTGGACTTATTTGATAGTCAATGATCTGCAGAATATGGTGGAGACAAATTTTGTTTTGCCAGTATTTGAAGAGCTGATAGATACACAAATTAGAGACCACAAAATTGCAGTTAGACAGAGATCCAATGCCAGCATTCACATAGCAATTTTTGATGCCATTTTCATAAGGATAATGGCTAATGATTTGATTGAGAATAAATTATTCTCAATTAAAATAAAACGAAAAGTTTCACTATGAATTGGTCAGATTTTGACAACTCTAAAGTGGAACATGATGATGAAATCAAGAATTCAGATCATGAAAAAATTCAATAGGAGATCATTGATAAGTCAGGAGGTATCAAATTGATTCCTGATATTTGTCAAGATTATAATATTGCAATTTTTGAGTCTACAAGTTTTGATGGTGATGACAAAATGAAGAATCATGCAGAATTTCATATTTTCTATGCAAGTTCAAATATTGTCGAAAAGTGTTTAACTTTGAACCTATGAGAAGATTATTTGGAAACATCCAAAAAAAAAAAAAAGAACCATCTTTTATTTAGAGTTTGGCATGGGAAGACAAAAGAAGTGGTTTGTTGCAAGACTAATATTTAGCTTGCATAAAAACCCAAAAAAAGAAGCTCATTGCAAGGCTAATCATTAGTTGCAGAACTTCTTACAAAAGTCTTGTCCAAAACATGATTCAAAAATTTGAGAAGACAATTCAAAATTTGCAGCAAAAGTGGCAAAAAGGAGTGTTGAGATATGCCAACTTTTCCAACAGGTTTTGCTAGATTATGTTTGATATCAAAATAATTTAGTTATTAGAAGAATAAGGATATTTGTTAACCAAAAATCATGTTGGTTTGTTAACAAATATTTTAGCTAAAATTTGCTACTAGAAGAAGATTATATTTTTTTGAAATTTTAAGATAATTGTTAGTTGGATATTTTGTTAGTTTGTTTCATGTAATTATTATAAATAGTGAGTTGATGAATGAATAATATAAGGTTATATTCCAACCTCAATACAAGTTTCTTGTAAGATTTTTTTTGTAACACTAAGTTGTTATTTCTTAATTTATGCCCGAAAAAACCAACAACATCACAGAAGCCGAGAAAATTCAATCTTAAATGTCACAAGACACTTTTTGGCCGGTCTGGACCTTATCCAAATTCCAAAATTTCTGCATTTAATTGTGGTAGACCCCCTTATTTGTCCAACTCCAGCTAATGGTAATACACCATTATTTGGCTGACCTGGCATAAGTTCTGCATAAGGGAATAGAGATAATATTCTGTAATATTCTGGAAGGCAATTTTGAAAATATGTATCTTAGCTATTTAACTTCATGGATAATCCTTTAACCTGTTAAGCTGCTGATTGAGTTTATTACGCAATTCTGAAAATTTTTATTTGATGCAAAAGGAGACTAAAACATACTAATGGCCAAGTCTAGAAAGTCAATGTGATCCTCTGTGGAACATGTGGACCTTTATATGTTTGCCAGGTTTTGAACCAAGAGATCAGTTAATTACATTTCCTCACTGAAAATTAATTAAGTTAATTCCAAATGCCGTTATGTTTACTCTGTTTTAAAAATAAAGATGAAGACAAAAACTTAGGGTTGTTGTTGGTTTTTTGGGGTATAAATTAAGAAACAACACCTTAGTGTTGCAAAAAAAAAAACTTACAAGAGACTTGTATTGAAGATGGAAAATGAGCTTGTGTTGCTCATTCATTAACTCACTATTTATAGTGATTACATGAAACAAACTAGCAAAATATCCAACTAATAATTATCCTAAAAATCTCAATAAAAATAATCTTCTTCTACTAGCAAATCTTAGCTAATATATTTGTTAACAAACCAACATGATATTTGGTTAACAAATATCTTTATTTCTCTAATAACTAAATTATTTTGATATCAAACTCAATCTAATAAAATTTGTCGGAAAAGTTAGCATAACTTGGAATGGTCATGATATTTGAGATTTTCCTGCTTTTTTAATTGAGCTATCTTCTCTCTACCGACGAAATTTCTTTCGAGTCTTATGTGGTCTGAAAGTAGTAAAGGTTTGCTCATAATTGACTTGATTAGTTGACTTGGCTGCTCATAATTGACGTGACTGCAATAATGACCTTCCTAACTTTGATGGTGCAATAATGATCTTCGTACCTCTGCAGGGTGTAATAATGACCTTCCCAACTTGGAATGGTTCTTGAGATTAGATTGTCACTTCTGCTAGAAGAGAAATTGAAAGGATGAACATGGAATTACATCCTGACTTGGTCTAAAGTGGCTGTCAAGAATTCCACCAATTCTGTGGAATGGATGGATAAAAAGTACTTCAAAATGGAATAAAGAAAGGCTCTTGAATAGTTTCCATAGTATCGTAGTCATAGACCAATTAGAAACATTTCTTCACCGTCAATGTGGGAATCCTTTGTTCTCCTACTCGCTTGCAGCTTTGGGGTTTGTATTGCGTTAGATACCATTACCATCACTCAGCCTATCCAAGACTCTGAAACTATAGTTTCCGCTGGGCAAAAATTCAAATTAGGATTCTTTAGTCCTGAAAACAGTAGTGATCGCTATGTTGGAATAATGTATAACCTACCTGGAACAGCCATTATATGGGTGGCTAATAGAGAGAGACCTCTGAATGATTCCAGGGGAACCGTGGTAATCCTGGAAGATGGAAATCTTGCTGTCATAAATGGAGTGAAGGACATGCTATGGTCTACTAATGTTTCAAGTTCTTCGGCGAATTCTAGTGCACAACTCCTGGATACTGGGAACCTGGTCTTGACAGACGAGTCAAACGGGAGAATCAAGTGGGAAAGTTTTGAGCATCCTACAGACTGTTTTTTGCAATACTCGAAATTAGGTGCTAGTACAACAGGGTCGATCAAAATAACCTCATGGAGAAGCCCTTCAGATCCTTCTGTTGGAACTTTCTCTGCAGGTCTCAGCCTCTCACAAATTCCCCAACTCTTTGTTTGGAATAATAGTAGCCCTTACTGGCGGAGTGGCCCATGGAGTGGTACCGCGTTTATTGGGATAGCCGGCATGGCTTCTGCAAATTATCAAGTAATGGATGTGTTGAAAGACAATTCCGGATCTCCATATGTCACTTATAACTATGTTGATACTCCTTTTTTTTACTATCTGTTGAGTTCATCAGGGCATATACGGTCAATGTTTTCAAGTGGAAAAGGAGACTGGACCATAAACTGGTCAAGTCAACTGAGCCAATGTGATGTTTATGGAAAATGTGGACCTTATGGGAGCTGTAATCCTAAGGGTTACCCAATCTGCACATGTCTGCCAGGTTTCAAGCCAAGCGATCAGGAGGAATGGAATCAAGGAAACTGGACAGGTGGTTGCATAAGAAAAGAATTGCTGCAATGTCAGAGAAATGAATCTGCCAGTAGAGAGGACAACCAAGATGGATTCATGAATCTTACACACATGAAAGTTCCTGATTTTGCTGAGCCAATGGCAATTACAGAACAAGAATGTCGTAAAAACTGCTTAGACAATTGCTCATGCACAGCTTATGCATTTTATGTTGGCATAGGATGCATGCAATGGAGTGGCATTTTGATCGATTCAGAGCAGCTTCCCTTAGATGGGACAAACTTATATATTCGGGTACCAAATTCTGAACACGGTAAGACAATTTTCTGCACTTTTTCTTGTTGTTTCTTTATTACTTTACTCTTTATTGTCTTTTTGGTTCAAATTACGTATAATATAGTTTGATTCTAGCTGTGTTTCTAGATTAAGCACCTGAAACTGTTAAATTTTAAATTCCCTTTTCTACTTCTAAAGTGCAAGAATATTGGATGCAGTTGTTGCAGATACGAAAAGGGAGGCTTATACCTCTATACTTGGTAGTTAAAAATTTTGTGAATGCTTTGAAACATTTGACATATGGATACAGATACGAAAAGGGGTTTCAAAGTTGCAATTGCAAGCACAGTGTCTGCAGCAGCTGTACTCCTTGCACTCTGTGTGTGTCTTTGTTGGAAGTGTATAGCCAAGCACAAAGGTAATTGAACAGTACAGCTCAAGTGCTGCTAAAGGTTTTGAGATTGGTAGTCATAAATCCACTTGTTCATAAACAGGGAATGAGCAACAAGCTAAGTTATCACGGATGGAAGAAGTGCATAAAGTGGAAGATATGGTTACTGTAACCATGAACCAAGCCAAGTTTGAAAAGCTACCCCTGTATACTTATGAAGCATTGGCTAATGCAACGGATAATTTCCACTCAAACAAAATAATAGGGAAAGGTGGCTTTGGTCCAGTCTATAAGGTAAACTGAGCTTGGCTTGGCATGGATATTTTAATTTGCACAGTATGTGCTTTGGCAGCATCTAATAATGATCTATTAGCAGGGAAAGCTGTTTGATGGCCTGGAAATTGCAGTAAAGAGGCTTTCAAATTCTTCAACTCAAGGGATTGAGGAGTTTATGAATGAAGTCATGGTTATTTCGAAACTCCAACACCGGAATCTCGTTAGACTTCTGGGCTGCTGCGTTGAAAGAGAAGAAAAAATGCTAGTCTACGAGTATATGCCAAACAAAAGTCTAGACGCCTATTTATTTGGTTAGAAAATCAAGACCTGTTTACATTTTATAGGCTTCTTGCATACCATCTAAACTGAGAACAGGATATTTGTCATGTCAAGGCTCCAGAGTACTAGTAAAACAGAAAAATATAGTACATAATAAGTCCCTGCAGAAAAGTAACATAAAAACTGATGTGTATTAATTCACATTATTAATGTTACAGATGCCAATAAACCAAACATACTTGATTGGAGAAGACGTGTGATCATTGTTGAGGGGATTGGTCGAGCCCTCCTTTACCTTCACAGAGATTCAAGACTGAAAATTATTCATAGAGATCTGAAAGCAAGCAACATCCTCTTAGATGAAGAGCTCAAGCCAAAACTATCAGATTTCGGTTTCGCCAGAATTTTCGGAGGCAACCAAGATCAAGCCAATACTAACAGGGTCGCGGGGACATAGTAAGCATATATTTGCTTTATTCTGGTCATTTATGCATCATAAATTATTCAAACTGTTTTCTTTTCCCCCTAAGTTTAACTCTTTTAGCATAAATGATGCTATGACAGTGGCTATATGGCACCAGAATATGCAATGGAAGGAAGATTTTCTGAAAAGTCGGATGTCTATAGCTTTGGAGTGCTATTATTAGAGATTGTTAGTGGAAGAAGAAATACTACCTTCTATAGTGATGAGAATGAGCTGAGCATGCCAGGACATGTAAGTTCATTGATTTCTTCAACTAATATAGTATCACTACTCAAGCAAAGTTCCTCATCCTATTTTTGTTGACTAAACTCCGTTCTTGATTGCAATATCTCAGGCGTGGAAGTCATGGAATGAAAATGAAGCAGCAAAACTGATAGATCCCGCAATATTTGATCTGGGCGCCATAACAGAGATGTTGAGATACATCCATGTAGGATTATTGTGTGTGCAAGAATCTGCAAAAGACAGGCCAGATGTCTCTGCTGTTCTTTTAATGCTTACTAGTGAAATTTCAAATCTCCCTCGCCCCAAATTCCCAGCTTATACTGGACGAATAGGTTTCTCAGAAAAGTCTTCTCGACAAAGGGCTTATTCCATTAACGACATAAGCTTATCATCTATTGAAGGCCGATAGCCCAGCACAGTGCATATTGTTTTTCAGCCACCAGTTTTTACCATTCTATGTACAAAAGCTGTTAATCCACGACATGAAGGACTCTATCTATTTTGGTATCAACGTCGTTAAGGAAAATAGTTTATAAATTGTTCCGCATTTTATAAATCCCATGATCTCCTTTTTGTTTCCTGACAATTTATTCTTGTTCATTCTGGTTTTCTGTTCTCATTATCTGGATCCTTTATTGTATGTCATCTCCATTTTCATCTTTTTGTTCTTACGAATGACTGGCTAGTGAAGAAATGTATCAGTTTTATTGTCAAGACAGCATGGGGATCATGCATAGTTATAGACTACGTGTGATTTGCTTTGGGTGCATCAAAGTGCAGACAAATATCATTGAATCTCATACAGACAAGTACACTTTGTATCCTTGTTTTGTAGTGCATATTTGCAACACTTTTAATGAAAATCCATCTTAAGCTGTGGAAATAATCAAATTGAGCACATAATCCTATCACATCTCTCAAATGATGTTAACTTCCCCATACAATAAGTTGTCGAGTTATATGGTTTTGTGTAGTGCCAAGTAGGCAGACTTTAATATGACGTTCTTTGCTTTGTGATCTCAGATTTAAAACCTCACATTTGCATCCTTCAAAATATCTCTTAAGTGTCATGCTTAGGACTCGGTTATAATGAGTCAAATATCTCTTTGATCGAGCTTAGATTGATTTAAATTTACCAAATATCTCTTTGATCAAGCAATCTTGAGCTTGACTTGTCACAATTTTCGAGCAACTCAAGTTTGACTGGAATAAGCTCAACAAAATAATGAGCTCTAGTTGCTTGACACATATTTGTGTTTTCCAAAACAAATTAGAGAATTACGTACTCATTAAACTCAACAGCTTCTTGAGAAAAAACAAAAAGACTCAAGCTGGAGTCGTTTAGCTGTTTAACCAGATTGAGCTCACAGACAATCCTGAACTCAGGTCAAGCTGGGGACCAGACACCTTATGCATTGCTTGGTTTGTTTGCATCCTAGTCCTATTGATTCTTGTTCCTTTCGCGAAGATTGTTCCTTCTGTTTTGCTTCTTTACTGGCACCATCAAATGTAAATGCTGCTGCATATACTGCTGCTAGAGCACAAGTTCAACTTCAACCTCGCCTCCTTGTCATAATCAAATTATGTTGGTTACAGAACGCAATACATACTTGGACGAACACAATACATCCTGCGTCTCTTAGAGGGATGATGCTCACTGCTTGCAGTCATTGGATGAGAACTTTAGATGGTGAAGCATTTGATTGCATATGCCAAGTTGCTTTAATAGTTGCTAGAGAATACGCAATATTTGCTGCAGAAGGAAGTCTGAAGAATGAATCGACTCATCTCTTTCGCATCAACTATATATATATATATATATATTAGAAAATGTTACGTCTTCATCTTGTAAGCTACAGAAAGAATATTATCCCGACTAAACAAGTCTCCTTCCCAATATAAATATGAGCAACACACACCTCTAGCTCCCAAAGTTGAGACAACAATTGGTCCATCTCTTTATCATAGTTCTTGAAGTTGATGAACACGAATGCCACAATAGGCTAACTCCTGCACGATCTGGAAAGCAAAAGGAATCTTGACCGACGGCAGTTCAGTTTAGCCATTCTCTAAATCCAAAATCCAAAATTCTCCAAATCCAAAATTCTCTAGCCATTCTCGTTTGGTTAGTTTGCCTCCTTCATCTCACCCTCTTATCGTGACTGCTGAGAAACACCTGTAAAGATTGAAGTCATCAGAGATGCCATCCTCAACTTCACATTCATTGGCAGGCCAAATATTGGATGGCCTCAACTTGTCTTAGTGTCTGGATGATGTGGTTCAGCTTCCTTTCAGTTAACAAGCTCTCTCTGATGAAAGACTGGCAAAATGGGAAGAACAGGTCTTGGATGGATGTGTCAGGCTGTTGGACATTTGTGGTGCAGTAAGAGACATCTATTTAGAGACAAAGGAAGTGTGCAGGTACTTGAATCATCTTTACCGAGAAAAACAACTGGAAGTGTGGACAGTGAAGTCAACTCATATATGATCTGCAAAAAGAACTTGAACAAAATGATTAGCAAATGCCACAAAGAATTGAAGAAAGCAGAGAAGAACTGCAACTTGGGAGTGGTAAACAAATAGTCTTACATGGTTAACTTGATCAAAGATGTTCAAGTTGTTGGTGTTCTGGTGTTGGAGTCTGTTCTATCTTTCCTTTCTGGATCTAAGGCAGGATCACAACCAAGAGGTTGGTCCTTGGTCTCAAAGTTATTGCAGCAGAAAAGAGCATCAGTCAGGGGATACTCTGATATTGGAGCAATTGACAAATAGAAATCAAGTTGGATTTGTTGAACAACAAGCAGTCAAACAAAGATGTACTCAAAAAACTTGAGGCAGTAGATTCAAGCATTGAGGAATTGGCGGAGGCACTTGCAATTGTGTTTAGGCTTTTGCTGAAAACCAGAGTTTCCCTTCTCAACATCCTCAACCACTAGTTTAGGCTACAATCAGGATGGCTTCTCAAATACCATGCAGTATGGTTCGCCAAATCGGCCGAGTCCGAGTTGACTCGGCCGAGTCATAACGGGAACGGGGCTCACCGGTACGATACCGACACCCGCATCGCCGTTTCACCGGAATCCGAGTTGACTCGGATTGACTCGGTCGATATTTACCGAGTCAACTCAAATCAATAAGAAATCAGTAAAACTTACCGAGTTTGGCCGAGTCAACTCGCGAGTCAGACAACAAAATCACCCACATGATTTCTTCTTTCTCCCACCGGTTGCCATCCTCATTCCATCACTTCTGCTAGTGCAACCCATCATAATTAGTTGAGGTTTCTTGAGGGTTGTTATTGTAAGACTCGTAATTTCGTTGGGATTGATCATAATCTTCAGATTGGGAGTACAACAAGAAGAATTGGAGCAAATTTGGAAGTAAGATGAATCTGTAAAAATTTTGTGTGATTCGGGGTTTTGGAAATTTTTGTAGGTGGTGGTAAACTGGTAACGGTGGTGGAGCTTCAGAAGAGAGAGACAGAGAGAAATAAAGGGGGGGAGGTGGTGGAAAGATGAATCTGTAAAACTTTTGTGGGATTCGGGGTTTTGGAGATTTTTGTGGGTGGTGGTAAACTGGTAATGGTGGTGGAGCTTGAGAAGAGAGAGACAGAGAAATAAAGTGGGGAAGGCGGTGGAATGGAAACGTTTTCTAGGGATTATGGGAGGCAGTGTGGGTTGTGTATGTGGGAATGTGAGGGGATAGAATGGAGTGAGGAGAAAGAGAGAGATAAACACCCAACCAAAAAAAAAAGAAAAAGAAAAAATTACAGCTAAATTACAGCTCAAAGGCCACCAGATTCTATCTCACGTCCTTTCCAACTTTCTCTCTAACCCGAACAAACATTTCTTGGTCAAAGGGGGATACCTAAAACTTCATTCCTCTATTTTTTGAATGCATTCACGTTTCCATTCATTCAACATTTCAACCCCCCTGACACCAAAGGAACAAGAGATTAGAATAGTCCAACAAATATTAAATTGGATTAGTTAACAACAAATGAACTGGATTTTTTTCAACATCTTTTGTTTATTAATTAGAACTACGTCATTTTTTTTAAAGACTTACATGGTATCTATGTTAACTTAGGTTTTTTATCAAATTTAATTTGATAGTTGTATTGCTTATATTATTTTTTATTTTTAATAATTTTTTTAAGAATTTTTGAAAGTTTTATATACTTTAACTCACGTATCACCCGATATTTAATCGATATACCGTGACGGATGTGAAACAACCGCGACCGCGACGCGACCGCGGCCCGCGACGGCGAACCATGCCATGCACCTCAATTTTGTTCACATTAACTATTGTACAAAACTATACGCGCGCACGCACATCTCAGATATGAATACTGTACTGAAACAGTTTATCTAATTTGATATCTTTTGTTCCTTCGCCCGTCCATGGTTAACTGTTGCACTTAATATTCCCGGAAAAAATTCCAGGGTCAATCAAATCAGAATCTTGCAGGCTAACTTTTCACTATATCTTAGACAGTTGCAAAGTGTTCTTTATCTATGCTTTCAATTAACTTTCATTTTACCACATGCAGAAAGTAAACAAGTTTTATATTCTAGGGCAAATTCCACTTTACCTCCCTGTGGTTTAGCATTTTTTTACATAATTCCCTTATGGTTTCAAAAGCTATACATAACCCCCTAATGGTTTGGATTAAAGTGTCAAAGTGACGAGAATGATCATTCTTAATGGAGTCACCTAAAATGTCAAAAATACTTTTATGTAAAGTTGAAAATTATTTATTAACTAAAGGGGGTTATGTGTATATTTTAAAAACCATAAGAGAGTTATATGGTAAAATATTAAACCATAAGGGGGTTATATGGTAAAATATAAAAATCATACGGGGTTAATGTATTATGTATTTATAAGGGTAATTTCGATATTTTTAGAAGTTCCGTTACGAATAACTATTTCCGTCACTTTGACACTTTAATTCAAGGGATAATTTCAGAAACCTCCCCTGAGGTTTCTGACATTTACACTTACCTCCCCTGTGGTTTGAACAATTACACTGACCTCCCCTGAGGTTACTAATCCTTTACAAATTCTGTCCAAATGATTAAAATATTATTTTAGAGAGTGAAATTAGAATTTTGTACCTGATTTGTCCTTTGTACCACATGTCCAATGAATGGCAAAGTATTACAAATTAATTAACAATTAATAAACTTTAACGAGCGTAATTTATAGGTAAATACGTATTGCCTATTTAAAGTACCAGTTCTTTACATGTATTTTACTTTCAAACATTTACTTTATCACAAATATTTATTCTCAAATATAGATTTGTATTTACTCTCAAATATTTAATTTTTGTTAAATACAAAACCTACCAGTTTTTCTTCTGTAGAAATATTAATATAACATTTTTTCAATTTTAGTTACAAATATTTATGTATTTAACATAAATTAAATGATTCAGAATAAAATACTCATAAAGAGCTAATACTTTACTCATGTAATGGATGAAAGCCATAAAAAATTAACATTTTATAGGTCATTTCTTTTTTGTTAAATTTTAATTTATATTAAATAGATAACCTATCGATTTTCTTTTTGCAAGAATATTATTGTAACACCTTTTAATTTTTAATTAAAAATATTTATATATTTATTATAGATTAAATATTTAAAAATAAAATACCTGTAAAGAGACGGTACTTTAAATAAGTTATGCGTATTTGCCTATAAACTACACTATTTAAAGTAAGGAGTATAGTTTATTGATTTAAATAAACTATACTCCTTACTTTAAATAACTATACTCCTTACTTTAAATAGTGTAGTTTATAGGCAAATACGCATATCCTATTTAAAGTATCGGCTCTTTACAGATATTTTATTTTCAAATATTTAATTTATGATAAATATATTAACATTTGTAATTAAAAATTAAAAAGTGTTACAGTAATATTCTTGCAAAAAAAAATCAGCAGGTTATCTATTTAATATAAATTAAATATTTTTTAAAAAATAAATGGCCTCATAAAATATTAATTTTTTATGACTTTCATCCATTACATGAGTAAAGTATTGGTTTTTTATGGATATTTTATCCTGAATTATTTAATTTATGTTAAATACATAAATATTTATAACTAAAATTGAAAAAGTGTTATATTAATATTTCTACAGAAGAAAAATTGGTAGGTTTTGTGTTTAACAAAAATTAAATATTTGAGAGTAAATACAAATCTATATTTGAGAATAAATATTTGTAATAAAGTAAATATTTGAAAGTCCGTAAAGAGTTGATACTTTAAATATGTAATACATATTTGCCTATAAACTACGTTTCTTAAAGTTTATTAATTGTTAATTAATTTGTAACACTTTATCATTCATTGGACATGTAACACAAAGCACAAATCAGGTACAAAATTCTAATTTCACTCTCTAAAATAATATTTTAATTATTTGGACTGAATTTGTAAAGGATTAGTAACCTTAGGGGAGGTCAGTGTAATTGTTTAAATCACAGGGGAGGTAAGTGTAAATGTCAGAAACCTCCCCTGAGGTTTCTGAAATTATCCCTTAATTCAAACTATGAGGGAGTTATGTATACCTTTTGAAACCCTAGGGGGTTATATAAAAAAAGGCTAAACGACAAGGGGTAAAATGTAATTTGCCCTATATTCTATGGTATATGGTGAATTTTTTTTTTTTTTTTTGTTAAAGCAGAATTTGACAATGTAAAAACTTTGTAAATTTGCAATTTTGTCTGAGGCAGATTTTTCTGTCTTTTGACAGGGCAATACAGAATATTAACATCACACAAAAAAGAGTAAATTCTAAAAGTAGGAAATGTTTATCTTTAATGTATGGGTTTAGGGATAATATCAGAAACCTCCCTAGAGGTTTCTCCTAAAACAATTGGCACCCCTTAAATTTTAAAAATATCACTTACCTCCTCTAATAATTGTAAAAAGACTATATTAGCGCTCACTTGATACATAATTCACATATCAAATAAATGAATCTCAAAAAAAAAAGTCACTTTCTTTTCTTTCTCTTTTCTCCAACATTCTCTCTTACTAATTTTTTAGATAACTATGCAATATTTTATTTGTAAATTATAACAAATTGAATTTTAATTATCTTTTACTTTTTGTTATCATGATAGAGTAGGGTATGATTTATTTACTTATTTTAAGTTGATTTTTATAATACTCAGTAAAATTTAAAGATTTGGGCATGAGTTGAAAAGAAGTTGGAAAAAAAATATATAAAGTTCATAAGAAATCGATTTTGAGCATAAAAAGTTAAATTAGTGCAAGTGTTTTTCTCTGCAAATATCTTTTTTATTTTTAAATTTATATTTTTATGGATTATAGCGTTATGACGTGGTAGTACTAGTAGAGATTGTTTTTTAAATCATTGTTTTCTTGAAGTAAACGAAGTGGTTTAGGAATATTTTTATTTAGCAAGTAAAAGAGTAGTTTATGGTTTTTAAAAATTTTGTTACACAAATAACAAAAGTAAGAAAGGTAAGCGATATTTTTAAAACTTTAATGGCACTAAGTGATATTAAGAGAAACCTTTGAGGAGGTTTCTGATATTATCCCAGGTGTTTAACTACTGATGTTTCTGAAGCAAAACCAAGACATATAATTCTGCAGTTTTAAATGTGACGCCGAACTGATGTAACGCTTTTAGCTAAGGTCCCACATTTGGCTCATGAACCCTTAAGGTAGCTGACTTTGATTTCTTACCAAAAAAAATAGCTGAAAAAGCTGACTTTGATGCCAATGAATTAAAACTAGGGATAATTTCAGAAACCTCCCCTGAGGTTTCTGACATTTATACTTACCTCCCCTGTGGTTTGAACAATTACACTGACCTCCCCTGAGGTTACTAATCCTTTACAAATTCAGTCCAAATGATTAAAATATTATTTTAGAGAGTGAAATTAGAATTTTGTACCTGATTTGTCCTTTGTACCACATGTCCAATGAATGGCAAAGTATTACAAATTAATTAACAATTAATAAACTTTAACGAGCGTAATTTATAGGTAAATACGTATTGCCTATTTAAAGTACCAGTTCTTTACATGTATTTTATTTTCAAACATTTACTTTATCACAAATATTTATTCTCAAATATAGATTTGTATTTACTCTCAAATATTTAATTTTTGTTAAATACAAAATCTACCAGTTTTTCTTCTATAGAAATATTAATATAACATTTTTTCAATTTTAGTTACAAATATTTATGTATTTAACATAAATTAAATGATTCAGAATAAAATACTCATAAAGAGCTAATACTTTACTCATGTAATGGATGAAAGCCATAAAAAATTAACATTTTATAGGTCATTTCTTTTTTGTTAAATTTTAATTTATATTAAATAGATAACCTATCGATTTTCTTTTTGCAAGAATATTATTGTAACACCTTTTAATTTTTAATTACAAATATTTATATATTTATTATAGATTAAATATTTAAAAATAAAATACCTGTAAAGAGACGGTACTTTAAATAAGTTATGCGTATTTGCCTATAAACTACACTATTTAAAGTAAGGAGTATAGTTTATTGATTTAAATAAACTATACTCCTTACTTTAAATAACTATACTCCTTACTTTAAATAGTGTAGTTTATAGGCAAATACGCATATCCTATTTAAAGTATCGGCTCTTTACAGATATTTTATTTTTAAATATTTAATTTATG